AAAAAAAAACACATAAGGAGAAAAGGCCAGAAATGGTGCTGTGGCTCAAGAGGTAGAGTGCTAACCTTGAGCTGAAGAGCTCAGAGATAGCACCTAGGCCCAGAATGCAAGCCCCTCGACTGACAAAATAAATAAAGCTGTGGAATTGTGTCCAGGCCCTGAGTTCAAGCCCCAAACTCTCTCCCTTCTTCCCTCTCTCTCTCCCTCTCCCTCCCCTCCCCCTCTCTCTCTTTCTCTCTCTGTCCCTCTCTCTCCCTCCCCTCTCTCTATGTCACACACACACACACAAAATTCCCATGATGAATGAGTAAAAAACAGGAGGTATGAGAGAAACATGTTGAGTTCTGTGTAGAGAAAAATGCAAAAGCTAGCCAGGTACCAGTGGCTCACACCTGTAATCCTACCTACTTAGGCCATTGAGATCTGAGAGTGGAGGTTTGAAGCCAGCCAAGGCAGAAAAGTCCACAAGACTCTTATTTCCAATTAACTACCAAATAGAAAAGAAAAAAAAAAGCCATAGAAAGAAGCAAGGGATCTCGAGTTTGAGGACAGCCTGAACTACATTGGGAGCCCCTGTGTCAAAACAGAATTAATAAAATACTGTAGGGGCTGGGAAGGTGACTCAGTGGTAGAGCGCTTGCCTTGCATGAATGAGGCCCTGGGTTCGATTCCTCAGCACCACATAACCAAAAAGAAAAAAGCCGGAAGTGGCGCTGTGGCTCAAGTGGTAGAGCGCTAGCCTTGAGCTGAAGAGCTGAGGGAGAGCGCCCAGACCCAGAGTTCAGGCCCCATGACTGGACCCAAAAAAATAAAAATAAAATACTGTAAATTCTGAAATGAATTCTATTTTAACTGGATTTTTAAAGGTAATATGCTCAGAATTCACTTCCTAATTACTTTTACTGCTTTTCATTCATTCCCTGTGCTCTTGAATTCACTCACCCCTATTTTATTGGCAGGATCGTAATAATATATAACGGTGCATGGATGAATTCTGTGTTCATTTCACGTGCCAGCACATGCTAAATACTGTAATACCTCAATGAGTTTCGCACCACTGATCAGCCCCATTTTCCAGAATGGGAAACTGAACTTCTAAGACAGCAAAACGTGCGGAAGTGAAGTTAGAAAATATACCAGAATAGGTTTGCGCGTAAGCACATTAGCGAATTCCAGCGCTCGCGCATTTATCTGCTACTTTGCATACTCTCACGTTCTGGCCCCCTTTGTGAGTTATCTACGCTTCACGCAGGAAAGAGATGGACAGTTGCATCTTGGGAGATGTAGTCCATAGACACCACCGTGGTCCAAAAAGGGAGAGTAAATTGATCGTACACTCTTTTCTGTATGTTTGTCTTGAGATAAGGTCTCACTATATAGTCCAGGCTAGTCTTGAACTCTCGATCTCAGAGGATTTGATCTTAACCTTGGGACAAAAGAACAAAGGACCGCTCTCATGTGTTTAACTACGTTTCCACCACGCTGTGCGTCCGTTCGGCTGCCCTTTGCCTTCTGGGGACGGCGTTCACGTGACCTGGATTCGTCGACCCTAGATGACGGGACTCACGTGGTAAGTTTAGGTCTGGACTCTGCCGGAGCCTCGGTGTTCACAATGAAAAGTTTGCCACGCTCATTTGGGCCAACTACGATTCTGAACTGAAGCCCTTTCTGGTTTACGATTTTGCCGCGGCTGTGGCTGCTGGCAGGCCAGCCTCCTTCCTCCTCCAGCTTCCCGCTCCGAGAGCTAAGGTAGGTTCCAGGCTCACTGAGTCCAAGGATTCCGGCCAGAATGGTGAAAGCACGCCAGCATTCCCCTATACCTGCACTTCCCCAAGCCGGAGGGGGGGGGGGGGCAAAAGAGGGTGGTCCCTTCTCGGCGCGTCTAACAGCAGCACGGTTCGCCTCGGTGTGGGGTCCAGACCTAAAGCTTGTGTCCTACGAAGTACTAGAATGCAGGATGCGCTCGTAGGGCTGGAGCAGGTAGTGAAGCCACAGTCCAAGTTATCGATGGATCTGCTTTGAAAGGGGATCTAGTGTTTCCACATGGGGTCGTGATGGTTGAGGTAAGGAGAATGGACTAGGGGTGTGGCCAGAAGGCTGTTAATGTAAGATGGAGTCGGGGGCAGGGGGTGGGGAGAGGGGGGTAGATCTGTGTAGGCTGATAGTGTTCTAGGTGAAATGTTCATAGGGGCTGATGAGGTTGTTCATTGATTAAGGAGGTTTTTTATTTGACAGCTAGAGAAGATGGAGGTGGATGGGAGTGTGTGGTCCTTGAGGATTGCTGGAGATAGATATTCAGTGAGTTAAGGAAGAGTGATGGGCCACAGTAATCTCAGTGCTCATTGTGAAGCTATGGAGGGAATAAGGGATGGGGTGGGGTTGGGCAGTGATGAGCAGGGATGAGTGTTGTAGTAAGCATTGTTACATTGTTACATGACCGCAAAGAAGTGAACAAGGAGGGCTGGGAAGGTGGCTCAGTGGTAGAGCACTTGCCTTGCATGCATGAGGCCCTGGGTTCCATTCCTCAGCACCACATAAGCAAAAAGCCAGAAGTGGTGCTGTGGCTCAAGTGGTAGAGCGCTAGCCTTGAGCTGAAGAGCTGAGGGACAGCGCCCAGGCCCAGAGTTTAGGCCCCATGACTGGACCCAAAAAAAAAAATAAAGAAGTAAATAAGCAGAGGGTTGGGCATCAAATGAGTGATCTTTGGGACCAGCGGAGGGGAGAATGGCAAACTAATGTGTGAGCATCAGGCAGTAATGTGTTATGTGTTGATGTAGGGGATACCAGAGGCCAGTGATATGATCTGTAAGTGGCCAGCTGGAGTGCCAAGTTAATGAGGGCTGATAAATCAGTAATCAAGAGAATGCAATGGGAAAGTAACAGGTTGTGGTTTTCCAGGCATTAATAAGAGTTAAGTATGTAATAATAAAGGAAACAACAAGCCAGGAGCCAGTGGCTCACGCCTGTAATCCTACTTGGGAGGCTGAGATCTGAGGATCATGGTTCAAACCCAGCCTGGGCAGGAAAGTCCGTGAGACTCTTATCTCCAATAAACCACTCGAAAGCCGGAAGTGGCACTCTGACTCAAGCGATAGAGCGCTCGCCTTGAGCTGAAGAGTTCAAGACCCACGACCAACACCCCCCAAAAAAAGAATAAAGGAAACAATTGGAGAGCTAGTCATTTAAAGGATTAATGGCTTGCAGAGTAGACAGATATACTACAAAGTGGGAGGGAGTAAAAAGCAAGGGATTAATGGGGGACTGAGAGAGCTCTATGAATCTAGGGACAATGACAACAATTGGAGAGGTGAGCAGGAGGTGTTAATGGGTATGAAGTGGCAGAGAAGATTTGAGAAACACAGAGATTACTGTGTAGAGTGTTCCTGACAGTGAAGACAGGTAGACAGGGTCAGCAATGGGCCATCAAGTAAATGTTGGGTTTATGAGGTCAGGGGTAAGTGATGGGAGAAGGGGTTGTGTGATAAGTAATGAAGCCTGAGAGCTCCGTAACAGGATCCTTGGGGGCTTTATAGGATCAGTACCTGGGTTTTTCAGTCTTCTTGGATATTGAGTGAGTTGTCACATGAACTCAGTCACTGTGAATGGTTTTCTCTGTCCTGCACAGGTCATCTACTCCCCTGGGACAGACTGAAACCAGGCAGCATCAGCTGACTGCCAGCAAGTTGCTAGGTCAACAGTGTGTGAGATGGGACGGACATCGAAGGACAAGCGAGATGTCTACTACCGCCTAGCCAAGGAGAATGGCTGGCGGGCCCGAAGTGCCTTCAAGCTGCTACAGCTTGATGAGGAATTTCAGCTCTTTCAAGGTCCCTCACTGACTGGCAAATCACCCTGGGGTGGGGTGGAAAGGCTTTGTCTGCAGAGCTCCTTGTGGTTGGAGGGCTAACTTGGAGGGTCGTTACAGCAGGGAGATAAGTGGAAAGATGAAACAAAGGCCCTAGAGCAGATGGGCACTTGGGCAGTAGTTAGACATGATGCTCCCCAGGGGCAAGGAGTGAACTTTGCAGGGTCCTCATGTTGGAGTTTTAGGTACTGCTGACCAGTACACTTTCATTGTGTGTGCCCAGGCGTGACACGGGCAGTTGACCTATGTGCAGCCCCTGGCAGTTGGAGCCAGGTATTGAGCCGGAAAATTGGGTAAGTGTGGGAAGCCCAGGAGAGTGGGGTAGAGGAGGGTCTGGGGGGGGGGAGGGTAAAAAAAACTGGGTTGAAATGGAACACATTGTCCATAGGAGCCAGGGATCCGGCCAAGTGGTGGCTGTGGACTTGCAAGCTATGGCTCCCCTTACAGGTGTGATACAGATCCAAGGGGACATCACTCAGGTGAGAACATAGCAGAGGGTATTGGGAAATATCCTAGGTGCTGTGGGAAAGGGGAAGAGAGACCAATTTATAGAATCAAAATGGAGCTGGATGCGGTGGAATATACCTGTAATCCCAGCACTCAAGAAGCTGATCTTAAATTTGATCTAATCTGGGCTAGCTAGGACCCTGCCTTGAAAAGACAAAGTAAAGGAAGGAGAAAGGGAGAAGGATTTAGGTGTAACTCAGTGGTAGAGTGCTCATCTAGCATAAGCAAGGCCCTGGTTCCATCCCCCGCACTGCAAGGTAAGGGGAGCAGGGAAACAGAAAAGGCTGGAAGTGGTGCTGTGGCTCAAGTGGTAGAGTACTAGTCTTAAGCAAAAGACACTCAGGGACAGTGCGTAGGCCCTGAGTTTAAGCCCCAGGACTAGCAAAGAAAAAATGATGAGACTAAGTCCCCAGAGATAGAACATGGTGTTAGATAGACAAAGCCTGAGAATTTAGCTGGCCAGAGGCTTTGGGACCACAGCCATGAGCAAGTGGGGCTTGAGGGCAGCATTGAGGGTCCTAGACCCACTTGTCCTCCCTCTCTCCATAGCTTTCCACCGCCAAGGAGATTATCCAGCACTTTGAGGGCTGCCCTGCTGACCTAGTGGTGTGCGATGGGGCTCCTGATGGTAAATGGGGTCCAGGGAAATCATGGAATAAGGAAGCGGGGAGTATCTGTTGGAATTTTTAATTAAATGGACAGGAAAGGCTTCACTGACTTGACAACAGAGAACTAAAGGACATATATGGTTCATATATGTCTGGAAGTAGAGTGATCCATGTGAAGTTCCAGCCTTTGTGCAAAGTTTCTGAGGTAGGTGAGTGCTTGTGATATATAAGGAACAGCGAGATCAGTGTGGCTGGAAGAGTGGTGGGAAGCAGGAGATAAATATAGTACAGGTGTTGCCTTTTTCACTGAGAGGAGAATTTGGAGAAAACCATGAGGGAGTTGTGGGCAGAGAAGGACTGCCTGGCTCAGGTTGTGACTGGACCCTTCGAGCTACTTGGGCACTGTGAAGAACAAAGGAAGCAGAGACCATGGGGAGGAAGTGGCCACTCAGTAGTCCAGATGAGTGATGATATGGAGAGGAGGGTCACTTCAGGAAGTCTTTGGCAATTGGAGCCCCAGTATTTGCCAGTGACTGCAGTGTGGGTGTGAGGAGGGTTTTTCTTTATAGTGGAAGGGAGGTGTGAAAGAGAACTGACGGCCAGGTACCAGTGGCTCACGCCTGTAACTCTAGCTACTCAGGAAGCTGAGATCTGAGGATGGCAATTCAAAGCCAACCCAGGCAGGAAAGGCCATGAGACTTTTTTTTTGGTCGGTCGTGGGGCTTGAACTCTGGGCCTGGGCGCTGTCCCTCAGCTCTTCAGCTCAAGGTGAGCACTCTACCACTTGAGCTACAGCGCCACTTCCGGTTTTCTGGTGGTTTATTGGAGATAGGAGTCTCACAGTCTTTCCTGTCCGGGCTGGCTTTGAACCGTGATCCTCAGATCTCAGCTTCCTGAATAGCTAGGATTACAGGCATGAGCCACCAGTGCCCGGCTAGCCATGAGACTTATCTCCAATAAACCACCAGAAAACTGGAAGTGTCACTGTGGCTCAAGTGGTAGAGCATTCGCCCTGAGCTAAAGAGCTCAGAGACAGCGCCCAGACCCAGAGTTCAAGCCCCATGATCGCCATAAAAAGAAAACAGAAGAAAAGAAAAAGAATTGAAGACTTTAACCTGGTGAGGAAAAAAATAGGATGAGCAGAAAGTGGTGCTTTGGCATAAGTGGTAGAATACTATCTTTGAGCAAAAAATGCTCAGGAACAATGACCAGGCCCAGGACTGGCACACACAAAAAAAGACCAGGAACTGGTGGCTCACTCCTATAACCCTAGCTATCCAGGAGGATAAGATCTGAGGATCACAGTTTGAAACTAACCCAGGCAGAAAAGTCCATGAAACCCTTATCTCCAGTTAACCACCAGAAAACTGGAAGTGGTGCTGTGGCTCAAAGTGGTAGAGCACTAACCTTGAGTGAAAAAGCTCAGGGAAAGCTCTCAGGTCAAAAAAAAAAAAGAGAATAAAATCAGATGGAGATGGAGATCAAAGGAGTGGGTATGGGAAGGGAGATAAAGCATTTTAGATTTGTTTGTGGGTGAGTGACATCTGGTCAGTAAAGCAACCTCAGAGCAGCTATCTGGCTGGAGGTTGAATGGTAATGCTGCTTCTGTGGGCCTGGGGGGGGGTGGGGGAGTAAGTTGTGAGAATTTACATAACTTCCTAATCATGGGCTACTTGGGTTGACCGTAAGTTGCAAAAACTGAGACATAGTGTTTTTAGCTTTCTGATCTCTGATAGAAGAAGTTGCCTAGAAGCAGAGGGCTCCTAACATTGTTCTTCTTGCCACAGTCACTGGCCTCCATGATGTTGATGAGTACATGCAGGCTCAGCTCCTCCTAGCCGTGAGTAACCCCAGCCACCCCTGCCTAGCTTTGTCCCCTTCTTGGCAGCCTCCACCATTGCCTCAGCCTTCTGTCCTTACCCACAGGCACTAAATATTGCTACACATGTCTTGAAGCCAGGTGGCTGCTTTGTGGCCAAGGTAGGTCTTGGGGAACCTGGTAAACTGTAGAAAGAGGTCCTTGAACTGGCCTTACCCTTCATCTTGGTCTTCACCCTGCAGATATTCCGAGGCCGGGATGTGACACTGCTCTACAGCCAGCTGCGTATCTTCTTTGCCAATGTGCTCTGTGCCAAGCCCAGGAGTAGCCGGAACTCCAGCATTGGTCTGTGAGCTGGGCCTGGCAGCAAGGGGGTACTTGGGAATATGGACTGCATGAGGTGCAAGTGGTCATCATCCTCTCCCCACACTTCTTTATTTCCCTCCCTCAGAGGCCTTCGCTGTCTGTAGGGGTTATGACCCTCCTGAGGGCTTCGTGGCAGACCTGGCCAAACCCCTGCTGGACCACTCATACGGTGAGAGCTGGTACCCAGGGGCCTGGTCCCTAGGGGAAGTGTGCCCCACATCATTCAACTCATATCTCGTGAGAATCCTGAGCCTCTACCAGCCTAAGACACTCCCCACCCTTGCAGGATCATTTATGACAATTCTACCTCAGCAGGCCCCTAAGCCTTGCCCCAGGGAAGAACTCCACCTGCTTAAGGGAAGTGTGTGTGTGTGTGTGTGTGTGTGTGTGTGTGTGTATCTTGGGGCTTGAACTCTGTGTGTGTGTGTGTGTGTGTGTGTGTGTGTGTGTATCTTGGGGTTTGAACTCTGGTTTTCTGGTGGTTTATTGGAGATAAGAGTCTCATAGACTTTCCTGCATGGGCTGGCTTTGAACCACAATCCTCAGATCTCAGCCTCCTGAGTAGCTAAAATTACAGGCATGAGATGCCGGCTCCCGGCAGGAAATTCTTAGGAAGATCCTCAGTCATGCTCCCAAGTGGAAATGGCCCCCCATAATGAACATTTGTTCCCTGTAGGTCTGTAGCCTCACCCCTGAGATCTTGCTTGGGTGAGACAAGATCTTGGCAGGTGCACACAAGTTCAATGAAAAGCAGAGCAGAGGCCAACATCCTAGAGGCGGTAGTCAAGGGGGCCCTGAACAGGTCATCGGAACTAAAGGATGAGTTGTCACCAAAGGGATGAGAAAGTGGTTAGTGGAGATTGGGGGTGGGGAGAATTCCCTCCATGGCCTGAGTCATAACCAGCCCCATCTTCGGTCTCCTTTCTGCCTTTCCTTAAGATTCAGACTTCAACCAGTTGAATGGTCCCACTCGCTTTATTGTGCCTTTTGTGACCTGTGGGGACCTGAGCGCCTACGACTCAGACTGCAGTTACTCTTTGGATGTGAGTGCATAGCCAGCAGAAGGCTGGTGGGGAAGACTGTGGTTCTCAGGTCCTCACCATCTGCCTGTTCCTGTGTCCCTGCAGCTCAAGGATGGCTCCAAATATGAGTACACTCCACCCACACAGCCCCCCATTTCACCCCCGTACCAGGAGGCCTGCATATTGAAGAAGAAGGGGCGGCTGGCCAAGGAGGTCCATACCCAGAACTGTGCTGTCAGCAAAGTAGATCAGCCCGTCCCTTACCACCACACCGTCCTGGCTCCTAAGGTCTGAAAATGGGGCTCTGAGCCTAAACTGATCCCTTACCAGTGTGTCTCCTTTCATGACTCATTGGTTTCTCTTTGCTTCTTTCTTTCCTGTTTCCTACTAACTATAAAAATCTGTAGGTCATGCTAGGCTCCAATGGCTCACGCCTATAATCTTAACTTCAGGAGGCTAAGATCTGAGAATCACTGTTTGAAGCCAGCCTGGGCAGGAAAGGCCATGAAACTTATCTCCAGTTAGCCATCAAGAAGCCAAAAGTAGAGCTTTGGCGTTTTGATTTTTTTTTTTTTGCCAGTCCTAGGGCTTGAACTCAGGGCCTGAGCACTGTCCCTGAGCTTCTTTTGCTCAAAGCTAGCACTCTACCACTTGAGCCACAGAGCCACTTCTGGATTTTTCTGCCTATATGGTACTGAGGAATCAAACCCTGGGCTTCATGCATTCTAGGCAAGTATTCTACCACTAAGCCACATTCCCAGCCGAGCTTTGGCTTAAGTGAGAGTGCTAGAGTGCTAACCTTGGTCACAAAAGCTCAAGGACAACGTTCAGACCCTGAGTTCAAGACCTAGGACTGGTGCACGTGCACACACACGTTCAAGACCTAGGACTGGTGCATGTGCGCACACACACACACACACACATACACACACCCCAAAAACTGGTCAATCCAAGCATGGCACATGGAATAACTTAGTCCAGTATCTGAGTCCCTTTTCTTTGCCTTGGGTACATGGAAGGCAGTGAAATAAATTGTTCACCTTAACACATTAGGATAAGTTTGCCCCTATTTTGATGGTTCTGAGCATTGAACCCAGAGCCTTGACACATTCTAAGCAAGCACTCTGTCACTGCAGCCACACCACCAGCCTTTTTGCTTTGTATTTTTTTGATAGTCTTCCAGGTAACTTTGCCTGGGGCAGGTCTCAAACTCACAATCATTCAGCCTCCTTTTAATAGCTAGAAATATAAGCATTTGCCACCATGTTTGGCTTTAAGTTGTCCCTTTTTTGTGTGGGACTTGAACTTGATGTGAGCGCTGTCCCTAAGCTCTTTTGCTGAAGACTAGCCCTCTACCACTTTGAGCCACAGCTCCACTTCAGGTTTTTGAGTGGTTAATTGGAGATTAGATCTCAGTATCCAGAGTAGATAGTATTACAGGCATGAGCCACCAGCACCTGGCTTGCCTTTTAATCTTAAGGGTTTGAATAAGAAAATGTTCAGTAAAATTCCATGTTTTGAGTGGTTCATTTTAGGTAGGGTGTATTTTGAGATGAGAGTCATACTATATTGCCCAAGCTGGTTTTGAACTCCTGGTCTCAAGCAGTCAACCCAACTCAACTTCTCAATAGCCGGACTACAGATGTGAACCCCTATAGCAAGTTAAATTTCAACTTTGTGATGAGACTTATAGGAAAGCACTTGTCTGTGTGGGCAAGACCTGGGGTTCGCTTCCTAGTCCCACAAAATAAATTTCACATTTGAAATATTGTGCCAACTGATAAGATTTCAGTTGGGATCCTGGCATGGTGGTTACACCTATAATCCAAGAAGATTATGAGTTCAAGGCCAGGATGGATTACACAATGTGACCCTGTCTCAAGAATAAAGTCAGCAAATATTTATTAACCATCTGTTGTATGCTGAGAACTGCTTCAAGCATTTTATGTGTTATATATATATTGAGGCATTCAGCATATCTAAGAGCCGGATTATGTGTCCGGTACTCTTCCAGTACTCGAGTTTGAAGCTCGAGAAGGGAACAAAGAGACTTCATATAAACAAATAAGCCATGCATGGTGGTGGGCACATGTGATCCCAGCTATTCAGGGGGCCATAATTAGGTGGATTTGAGGTCTGAGGCTCGTCTCAGGCAAAACCACAAGACCTTACCTGAAAAATAAAAGGGTTAGGGATGTGAGTCAATTGGTAGACTGCCTTGCAAGCAAGAGGCCGTGAGTTCAAGTCACAGTAGTACAATAAATTAAGTAAAAAGGGTTGGCCAGGCGCTGGTAGCTCACACCTGTAATCCTAGCTACTCAGGAAGCTGAGATCTGAGGATCTCAGTTCAAAGCCAGCCCAGACAGGAAAGTCCATAAGACTCATACCAGTTAACCACCAGAAAACCGAAGTAGAGCTGTAACTCAAAGTGGTAGAGTACTAGCCTTGAGTAAAAGAATCCAGGGATAGTGCCCAGGCCCTGAGTTCAAGCCCTGCAACCAGCACTAAATCAGTAAATAAATAGGGTTATAATGGTACCTCCTTTAGATAATGTTTAAGCAGAGAGAGGGAATCCATGTATTTCTTTAGGAGAATAGCATTCCAGAGAAAGAATACCGCAAAGTTCCAAAGGTAGAATTGTTCCTAGCATGGTAGAAAAAAATAGCAATGGTCAGATGCTAGTATCTTATTCCTAGCTCTATTCAAAAAGCTTAGATCTGAGGATCTGCTTTAAAACTAGCCCAGGTAAACAAATCGCTAGATTTTTATCTCTTATCTGTGTTCACAGGAACCAGCATAGACAGAAGTGGAAGAACAAATATGAAAAGAAGTAGCTGAGAAGCAGGCATTGCTGTTGGCTACGCCTGTAATCCCAGCTACTCAGGAGAATTAAGAGCTGGAGGATGGAAGTTTGAAGCCAGACCAGGCAGAAAAGTCTAAGAGACTCCATCTCCAATTAGCCAGCAAAAAGCCAGAACTGAAGCTGGACACCAGTGGCTCATGTCTATAATCCTAGCTACTGAAGAAGCTGGGATCTATGGATCAAGATTCAAAGCCAGTCCAGACAGATAAAGCACCAAAACTCTTATCTCCAACTAACTAGCAAAAAGCCAGAACTGGAGGCATGGCTCAAGTGGTAGAAAGCCAGCTGTGAGTGAAAATCACACTTGCTTATTTAATCAGTGTGGTAGTTAATATAGGTCTGAAATCATGGTACTCAGGAATATGAGACAGAGGACTGAAAGAGCTAACCTAAGCTAATAGCAAGACCGAAACAGGACTGGAATTGCAGCTTACTGCTGGCATGTTCCCAAGCCTGTTTGAGGCCCTGGATCCATTTCCAACACCATATTTTAAAAAGAATTAAAGCAATGACAATTAATCACTGTGGGAAAGGTACTTAAAATCCTTGTAGTGTATTTTTTTAAGGACTTGGATTTGAAATCCGAGATTCAAGCTTACCATGCAGGTGTTCTGCAACTTGAGTCATGCCTTCAACCCTATATTCTTTTTTTGAACAATGTCACTCCTTATATTATTCTTAATACTAGGAAAGTTCTATAAGAACCAGGCATGATTTCAAATGCCTATAATTCCAGCCCTCAGGCATCTGGAGCAAGGGATCACAAGTTTGGGCCAGCCTGGGATATTGTCTCAAAAAGCCAGAAGAGGAAGTCCTATAGGGCTGGTATATACCCATGGTAGAACATTTGCCTAGCAAGTACAAGGCCCTGAGTTGCATCCCCAATACTAGAGAAGGTTGTATAAATGAGACAAACAAAAAAATGGCAATGGCCAGTGAATGAATGAAAAGCTGCTTATGAAAATACAAGCTAGGGTTGAGAATGTGGCTTAGTAGTGGTGGAGTGCTTGCCTAGCATGCATGAAGCCCTGAGTTTGATTCCTCAGTACCACATTTTAAAAAATGGAAGTGGTGCTGTGGCTCAAGTGGTAGAGCGCTAGCCTTGAGCAAAAAGAAGCTCAGGATCAGTGCCCAGGCCCTGACTTCAAGCCTCAGAACTGGCAAAAAAAAAAAAAAAATTTGCAAGCCAGGTGCCAGTGGCTCACACTTGTGATCCTAGCTACTCAAGAAGCTGAGATCTGAGGATCGTAGTTCAAAGCCAACCAGGGCAGGAAAAGGTGTGAAACTCTTATCTCCAATAAACCACCAGAAAACTGGAAGTTGTGTGTGGCTCAAGTGGTAGAGCGCTAGCCTTGAGTTGAAGAGTTGAGGGACACTGCTCAGGCCCAGAGTTCAAGCCCCACAACTGACAAAAACAAAAAGAAAATGCAGGCTAACACTGCAAAAGATTGCTAACACTGGCAGATTATTCCATAACTACAACTTTGACTCATAGTGCTCAGAGTATCAAATGGTGCAGACAACTTTGACTCATAGTGCTCAGAGTATCAAATGGTGCAGACACTAGGAAAATTTACCTACTAAAGTGGCATGTATTTCTCCTAAAACATAAGTATTAGACTATTCCTGGCAGCACTATTTCTAGTACCCTTCTCCCCTATAAACCATGATCTGTTCACATCAATGAGAACCAACATTGTACAATTTACAAAATCATGCCTTTTACTTAATAAGTGGAACTTATATTTCATGCATTTTTCTGTGTTTTGTTTTGTGTGTTTTTTTCCCCCTGGTCTCCCCATTCACAATACAGGGTAGGCACAGGCGTGGGCTGAGGTGTATATGGGGTAGGTTTACTCTGCCTCCTCTTTCTATATAGTCAGTGTAAGAACACAGCCTGTGGTAAGCACCCGGAGGCCTGTGTTTTGTTTTTTTGAGATAGGTTCTCACTCTGTAGCCCAAGCTGGCTTCAGACTAATCACTCAAATACTGGGAATTTAGGCATAAGCTGCCATATTGGCTGTGTTCTAATGCATTTTGGTTGTTTTGTTTTTGTTTTTTGCCAGTCCTGTGCTTGAACTCAGGTCCTGGGCACTGCCCCTGATTTTCTTTTCTTTTGCTGAAGGCTAGCACTCTACCACTTGAGCCACACTGCCACTTCCAGCTTTTGCTGTTCATGTGGTACTGAGGAAATCAAACCCAGGGCTTCATGCATGCCATTATAATGCATTTTGAAGAGAGGTAGTACTAATGATTGAACTCAGGGCCTTACTACTTGATAGATAGATGTTCTACCAGTGGAACTATATCCCCAACCATTTTTTGGTTAGTCATGGAGCTTGAACTCAGGACCTGCGTGCTATCCCTGGGCTTTTGTGCTAGTAGTGCTCTACCACTTAGAGCCACAGTGCCACTTCCAGTTATCTGGAGACTAATTGGAGATAAGATGTCTCACAGACTGTCTTGCTGGGGCTGGCTTAGAATCATGAGCCTCAGATCTCAGCCTCTTGAGTAGCTGGGATTACAGGCATGAGCCACCAGCACCCAGCCCAACCTTTTTTTTTAATTACATACTTGTACAAGGAGCTTCAATTCCAAAAGTTAGGTTATGAGTACAATGAATCTTTTTCAGTGTCACCCCTTTCCCAACCTTTTTTGTTTTATTTTTTAGATAAGGTATCATACTTTTGCCCAGTGCCAGCATCAGATCCCAGTCCTCCTTACCTCTGTCTCCTAGCTTACCTGGGACAACAGGCTTGAACCATTGTGCAGTCTCCTGTTTTATGCATTTTCCATGGCATTGTTCATAGTAAAAGTCTGAAAAGTTGACAGAAATGTTAGCAGTTTAGTAGAAGGAAGTCGGAACTTTTTATTGTGATAGTGGTGCTAAAGATGGAATCTATACTTTGTGCATGCTTTGCTTGCTCTGGACTACTGGCTTGAAACTTTAACCATTACCTAGCTAGGAAGCTATTAGAGCTCAGAAGCTGCCAACCGTCAGGAAAACCAGATCATGGGTTAATTAACTTGATTTCAAATCTCATCAATCAAATATGGAGCAAGATGTCTGAGCAGGCAATTGCAACAGCCCCAGGAGGAAAACAAGGAAAGAAACTGCTTGGAAATCAGCCTCACTGCAGTGGGACCTTTTTTTTGGTCTGTGTGAGGACTTGTTTTTTCTCTAAACTTGTCCTGAAATGTTCTGATTATGTCTAGGATCTTCTCCAAAAGTGGGATCAGTGATCTCCATCAACTTGGATCTTTATTTTTTTACCAATAGAAATGTAATTAGGTTGGGCACCAAAGGCTCAGCTGTAATCCTATCTACGCAGGAGCTGAAATCTAAGGATCAGTGTTCAAAGCCAATCTAGGCAGGAAAATCCATGAGACTCCAGTTAGCCAGTAAAAGGCTAGACGTAGAACTGTGGCTCCAGTGGTAGAGTGCTAACCTTGGGCAAAAACAAGCAAGAGTGTGAGGCCCTGAGTTCAAACCCCAGCACCTGTAATAAGTTAATTAGTGTGAGTGGTTTTCATTGTAATTATGTGTCAATGTATGTTTGGATGTGTGCTTAGAAAATATTCTGTAATGGGTTCAGATGCAACTCATTGGTAACAGCTCTTGGCCAGCATGTGTGAAGTCCTGGATACCATCCCCAACTCTACAAAAATAAAAATTGTGAAGTGTTGCCCCCTGTAGTCCCAGAGGCTGAGGTAGGAGGACCATGAATCCAGGACACCATAGTGAGATACCCTCCACACAGACACACACAACTCAAAAAACTTTATGTGACGTTTCCACAGATTTTTTTTTTTGCGGGGGGGATGGTCATGGGGCTTCAACTCTGGGCCTGGGCACTGTCCCTGAACTGTTAAGCACAAGGCTAGCGCTGTACCACTTGAGCCACAGCACCATTTCCAGCTTTCTGGTAGTTAATTGGAGATAAGAGTCTCAAGGACGGGCTGGGAAGGTGGCTCAGTGGTAGAGCGCTTGCCTTGCATGCATGAGGCCCTGGGTTCGATTCCTCCGCACCACATGAGCAAAAAGAAAAAAAGCCAGAAGTGGCACTGTGGCTCTAGTGGTAGAGTGCTAGCCTTGAGCTAAAGAGCTGAGGGACAGCACCCAGGCCCAGAGTTCAGGCCCCACGACCGAGCCAAAAAAAAAAAAAAGGTCTCAAAGACTTTCCTGCCCAAGCTGGCTTTGAACCGAGATCCTTAGATCAAAGCCTCCTGAGTAGCTAGGATTACAAGTATGAGCCACCAGTGTCAGGCTAGTTCCACAGATTTAACTGATGGTTCCAAGAGCAAACTGGGTTAATAAACTCTTGCCTGGTACCAGTGGCTCACACCTATAGTGCTAGTTATTCAGGAGGCTGAGACCTGTGGCTCTAGATTTAAAACTAGCCCTGGCAGGAAAGTCAGTGAGATTCCATCTCCAGTTAACTACCAAAAAAAAGGCTGCAAGTACAGCTGTGGCCTAAGAGGTATGGAACACTAGGCTTGGGCAACAAATCTTAAAAGACAGTGCTCAGTCCCTGAGTTCAAGTCCTAGGACAGGCACAAAAAAATAAATGAATTCTATGTGGAGTCTTTTGAGGAACCTCCATACTGTTTTCCAAAGTGGTTGAACAGGTTTACACTCCCACCAACAATGCAGTAGGGTTCACTTTTGGCCACATCCCCTCCAGCATCTGTTGTTACTAGATTTCTTGATTAATAGCCATTGTAACTGGGGTGAGATGGAATATCAATGTTCTTTTGATTTGCATTTCTTTTATGGCCAGAGAAGTTGAGCATTTCTTCATGTGTCTATTGGCCATTCTTATTTCCTCTTCAGAGAAGTCTCTCTTTAAGTCTTTAGCCCACTTATTAATGGGGCAGTTGTTTCTTTGAGGATTTATTTTTGGAGGGTTTAACTTTTTGAGTTCTAAGTATATTTTAGATATGAGGGCGTTGTATGGCTAGTGAAGATCTCCCAATCCATAGGCTTTCAATTGATCTTGCTGGCTATGTCCTTTGACATGTAGAAGCGCTGCAGTTTCATGCAATCCTATTTG